CTGAATAACCTTGTCACAATTCCTTTCAGCTGGGGTTCTGCAAAAAAATAATAATAATTATTAGATATACCAAACATGCAGCAAATAGCAAGAGACCCAATTTGCTTGTCCCCCAGTAAGCCCTGAGTAAATGTAGAAGTGCTTGGCAGATAAGACAGCTTTCTGTGATTCCTTTCAAGCATGGTCGTAAAATATTCATATATACATAGACATACAGGCAAATAAAATTGAGATCAGATGAGCAGGTAAAATGCAATGCGTAGTTGGTGCAGCAAAAAGTAACAGATTTGGGGAACATCGCTTCACTGGAAGTTACCTATCAAATGAAAGTCTTCAGACAGCTTATGTATTCTGAATATGCCACTCGTTCAGAAGAACATTTGCTAGCATTGTTGCAAAGAATTTGTTTATTGTTTCTTGTTCTGCCTGTGAAGCCAACTACCTTGCTTTCTGTATGGTTGATTCACTATCATGCAGCTCCAGTTTTACGCCAATGAAAACCTATTTAAACCAATGATATTATAGTGGTGTAAAACCAAAGTAACCAAGTGCTGAATGAGGCCGCATGAGTTCAATTGTGTGGGACTCGGGGAGCAAAATCCTGAAAGGAACAGATGCAAGACACCTCCAAAAGTGACCTCTGAAGCATTTATGGGCACCTTAAAATGCCTCTGTTTTAAAATCCCTCACGTTCCTCCCTCCTAAAACACGTGCCACATAACTCTGGTAGATGAGAATCGCTCCTTGCCTCTAGCAGGCTGCTTTCCCAGCCCCTGCACACCACGAGCCAGCCGTGGACCGGCTGGGGGCTTCCCTAATGCCTCGGCCACATTTTGCACCTGTGCTGAAGAGGAAAAGGAAAACACAAAAAAAGCAGAAACAATTTGAACTCACATGACAGAGGTCTGCAGCATTACTGCCTGTCTCCCTGCCATCCGACTGATCAAACACAAATTAAGCAGTCAAAAATAAATTCCGTTTTAATCATGCAAGTCTTACAATTTGTCACAGGCATTGCTTCTGGGAAGCAAGCTAGCTGGCTACACGTGAACAGACACTAGCTGGATGGCAGAGATCTTCCTTGTGTGATGGGAGTTTCTAGTTTTGTGTGACCACCCACCAAAAGTAAATAAGACCTAGTTATTGCTGGCTCAACAGACAGGAAAAAATCCAGTGTAGCATAGCAAAATCTCATCAGCCTCCCGTCTTTCATGCCTCTAGTGAGGCTGTTTAATAAGCCATAGTCGTTATGTAACTCCGGTCACGTTGTGCGTTAAGCGTTCCCATTAGGAGCCCCCGTCTCTAACCGTTCTGCACCCCACTGTGCAACTTCCACTGGGGACGGCGCTGCCAGCCCGCGCTCCCGCACAGCACCGCTCGGCCTCGGATGCAGGCAGGCTGCAGGTGCCACGGATTTCAGCTGCGGCAGCCCCTCCAGCCAGGTGAGCCTCTGGTGCTATTTCGTAGCTACAGAAGCCGCTGGGTACATCAGTATCGGCTGGTTTCTGTGCTGCCTTAAAGTGATTTCATAGCAACCAATGCCTGCCTGCAGTCACCAACACTTTCTCCCAGCAAGACAACTCTGGGACAGTAAATAAGTACAATTGTACTGGTCATCTAAGTAAGAGCTAACAGCAATCAAGCCAGTATGCCAAATTGAGCCTTAGATTGAGCCCAGTGTTTTGCTTTCTTCCTACCAAAATGAAATACCTGGTTTGTTGATCACAGAAGCTTGATTTAACTTGCTTTTCTAACAAGTGCATCAAAGCCAGAGGAAATGAAAAGCTGTATTCTCAGGCACAGATGACTGCACCCACTCTCCTTGAACCTGTGCCCTTCCTCCTTTTTACCAATACCACAATAGTAAAGGCACTAATAGGCACTCTCTGATAAGACCTACGTTTGAGTCCCTGAATGAGTCTTAGCCTCATTTTTACTCTCTGGTTAAATTTTAATGTTTAAGTTCTTTGCACAAAATGGAAGAGCTCCCAGCAGGAGAGATTTAGAAGATGCTCCTGCAGCCTGAGGCTTTCTGTGTGGTGGGGAGGGGGGAGATTGTTTTAAAGCTCCTCAAGGATAAAAGGAGTGGAGATAAAAACCAACCCTGACCCTTTCCACTTTCTTCGGAAGATGGTTTGGCTACAGGATAGAAGGCCCTTTCCTTCTTCAGTGTGCAACCTATACTTCAATCATGCAAATGATTTTGGAAGGACATGAAAACCTCTCTCAATTTTACTAAATAGCCTATTGAGTGAAAAAGAGCAGATCTGCTCATCATTAGTAGCTTCATGTCATTTTTAGAGTTTAGCCAAACAGCACCTAAGATCCCCTGAGGTCCTCCTGCATCCATGCTATGGATGCAAATGTTGTCACACTAGAAGCTTAAGTGTCACCATACTAAAACACTGGGTAAAGTACCAGAATCCCTTTTTGTTACCGATATGACATAAACACACAGTTGGGTCTCATCTAAGCTTTAGCAAATGTCCTCTTCATAATCCCATGCTTTTCGGAGTCAATTCCTGCCTAGGGACAGGTTGGAGGAAAAAACCTTATCTGGGAGACTGATGCGTTTTTTTTCTGACCTGACCTGGTTCTGATGAAGTTCAAAGCTCACGCCCAAACTCAAAGTAAAACTCAAGGGGAGTAAAGCAGAGACCTCCAAGCCCTACACAAAACCACCATGCTCATCCTGGCCCTAACACGGTCTGACAGTAGCACTGTCCCTGTCTCTCTGCACTGCACAGATCCTCTTCTGCAGGAGCATCCCTGCTCCCCAGACTTAGTTAGGAAGCAGCACCAGCTAACAAATACCTTTCCCAGGCACCAATGGGTCAGAAGAAAGCACTCTGGAGACATACAGATGTCTCCTCCTCCGGTGTCTGCATTTCCTTGTGCCTCTTGCTACAGGAGGAAAGTGCTGGTGAGCAGCTGCACCTTTGGGTGCCTATCTGAACTAAATACAAAAGCAGCGTAGAGATGTGCGCTTCTCTAACGCGGAGCACGGCTCAATAGGGTTAGGGAGTTGTCTGGGCAAGGGGTGATTTGTCTCGCCTAATACAGGCATCTCTACACCTGAACCAGGCTCCCTTTGCATCCCAAAAATGAACCAGCCAAGCCAGGCTAGGTCCATAGCATCCTGAAACCACCTGCATCTCTCCACTGACTGCAAAGGTTGCAGCTCAAACACAATCAGCTATGCTGGTGACAACAGCCAGCAGAAGAGCTGCTTCCTACTGGGGAACCTCCTGTCTCATGTCTGGGCATAAAGTGGGATATTGGGATTTGTCATTCATACAGCAAAAAATGTGGCTGGGAGGCCTACAAAGAAAATTTTAGGTGAAGGTAGCTTTTAACAAGGAACAAAGATTTACCTGTCTTTCTCCTCAGAGCTCACTACAGAGTTATTACCTGAGGAGCAGACTGTACAATCACAGGACAGGATTTTTCCTGCTAACCCAGAGACAAAAGTCTGCACATGACTTAAGAGACTCCATACTTTTTTCATATATTGTAACATCACTTCTTTCCATCTACAGAGCAATTTTATCCCAGTCTCCCAGCACTGCTATCCCCTATGCTGCAGCAATCATGCTGAAAACCTCAGTTTGTAGAAAAACCTCAAAATCAGCAGGGCTCCTTGTCAATTAAAGATGGTGGGACACCCCCGTAAATCAGAACAGAAGGCAGAAAGACAATGAAATAGACTGAGAACTTTGCACAGTTTAGGAAAAAAAAGGGAGAGAACAACCTTTCCCAGCAGGCAATATTCCCAGTGCTTACTGGAGCACCGAGAGGGAAAGAAAAGTAAAATAAAAACCCATAACCTTGATACTTTTATTTGCCTAAAGCTCCCTCCATGGTACTGCTCCTGGCTATAATCAGTAAGAGAAAGAAACAAACCATAAAAAAAGTGTGCAGCACAGACAGGCACAAACCCTGCCATAAGCACTTCCTTTCTCTAAGTCACAGAATTCACCAGGAATCAAACTCAAACAGACCCTCCAACCTCATTCTTGTTCAGCAACGGGGACTCAGATCTTCTTGCTTTTAAAGGAGCAATACTGCATAACACACTTGGGATAAACCTATTCCTCCCACTCAGGCTCCTCTGTAGGCTCTTATGTTTTCCTGTAGGAGCAGCTTTGCCTGCAGAAACCGAACTGAACTAATGTGGACAAGATTTCGGCACCAACTTCGCCATCTCCCTAAACACAAAGTTAAGTACTTCAGAATGGATTTAAGAAAGAAGTTATGACTGCCTTGATCCTAGAGTCCTAACTAAACACGAGAGATTTTCACACAGCGTATATTCCCAGGGCAGACCCCATGCTATTAGGATTCCCGTGCAATACACAAAAGGATTTTCTAAGCTTATTTTATAGCAATAGAGTTATGCATCAGGACACTTACTTTAAAGATCCTGTTCTGGCTGTTCATACACAGCTGTCCAGGTCTGGGGGGTATCAGAGAAAGCTCAGCAGACTCTCTCCTTACACTGATGCAGTAAGCTCAAATCCTTCAAACATGGCACTCCCAGAAGATGCTGGAGAAGATCACCCCAGTGAAGCATTCCCAGTAGGCACAGTCACAGTGCAGAACACACCAATTAGGAGTAGCAGGGAGCAAGAACTAAGCCATGGCTCTGTTCCTGGTCTGCAGCATCTGCCAGACCCGGGGTTTTCCCCAGCACAAAGCCACAGTCCTTCCTAGAGCAGCCATCCAGTAACCTCCTCACTGCACAGCCCCTAAAGAACATCCTGCTTGCTCCCCTTTCCACAGGCCAAACTTACCAAGTCTGCCTGCCCTGCTTTTAACTTTCTGAGCCCTCTGACACAGCTGAGGCTAACTAAGTCATGATCCAATTGCTAATCTCCTTGTCTCTATTTGAATGGTAATGTGGTGCTGCCATTATTTGTTTCAGCTGTCCTGCTGCTGAGCCTTAAAGTCATCTCAGTTCACCATC